TACTGAGAATGTAAAATTTGTCATTTTATGAGTATATTATAGGTCGCAAATATTTGATTTATAATGTTTGATTCAGTTGAATTCAATACTTAATTCACTAATGTGTTAATGGAGTATAATTGATTTGATATAAATCTCAACAGGTATATTACGTTCTTTACTAACTTTATGATCTAATTATAGTCTCAAAACTTGTACATAATCTTGGGACCTATTTATAGTCTTTAGACCTTCGATTGGTCTTGAAATTTGGGCTCAATCTTAAAAGTAATTAGTGTTAGAACCTTGGGCATAATCCTGGTGCGAAGATACATTCTTGATACCAAACATTATTACCAAACTTAGGCATGGTTAGGGATGTCCATCACTCGAAAATTAGACCATACCAGGTTGGACTGGATCGGACCAAGAATAAAAGAAGAAAACGTGCGGACCAAATACTGAATCGATTACAGTCCGTTCTAATTTTTCGGTCTAAATTAAAATTTGAACACCCTTAGGCATAGTCTCAAAGGCCAGACAGTCTTTGAACTCAAACTTGAGAGCAATGTCCCAATACCTAGACATTAATCCGAGTTCCAAAACAATCTCAGGACCCAAGCATTTGGTCTGAGGATCTAAACACATTTTTTCGAAATTCAAGCACTATTTCAGGACCCAAGTGCATTATCAGTGACTAGAACTATTTTAGAATTCTATCATTTTCCATACTTGATCTGTATGTTTTTCTCAGAAAAGTAACAAAGAATTTGAATCCTTACTTTTTTATGTTCATATTGGTTTGAGCGTTTTCACCTCTTTCTTTATTTTCACCTTTATTAAATAGTGAAGCAAAGTAGATATGCCATCTCTCTTTTGATTTAGTTTCCTTTTCTTTTAAAAAGAAAAATCAGTTCAACAAGATTCTATTCCAATCATGCATATATATATATATATATATGCATCACATACAATCACCATCTTACTGAAATCCAGAGGGAAAACAAATGGGGGGTTCAACAGAAAAAATACAGATAGGGGAAGATCCTGCAGATTATAATAAGGATGAAGACAATAAAGAAATGGCAATACGTTATCTGGGTGCCTTCCGATCGGACCAGCTGACCGACCTGAAGAAATTATACAGCGCCAACCATGATGCCTTATTCAAGCCTGTGACAATCTATGGTGACACAGTATTTCATATTGCTGCCTACAGAGGAGATGCTAAACTGCTTAGTTACTTGCTTGAAAAGTTACCCTCAAATAACATTCGCGAAGTCCTTTCTCGCAAGAATATTTATGGAAACACTCCTCTTCATGATGCAGCAAATTGCACAGAGGATATAAGGGCAGCCGTGATCCTGGTTAGGAAGCTGCTGGTTGCGGAAGAGGGTACAAAACGAGTACATGAAAAGGATATGCGTGAGCGCGAAGAACTGCTCAAGGTTCGGAACAATTTAGGCGAAACACCTCTTTACAAGGCTGCAGCTCTTGGTAATTTCGAGTTGTTGAAGCATTTGGCTGCGGAAGCTAAGCAGCTTGGAGACATGAAGGACCATTTTCACAGAAATGATCACTTCTCCATTCTTCAAATTGCTATCATTGGCCAACATTTTGGTACGTTGGTTGATATGAAATTAACATTTGTGTATTGATGAACTTAGAAGTATTTACTTCGATAGCATGTTAGATTCTAACCAAAAGTCATAGGTGACAAATACAACATATATAGGTCTTTTTGAAATAAGTATAAAAATATGTTAATAAGTGTCAAAAGGGGGTGCCAATCCGGATACAAAATATTTATAACTCTAACAAAATATCTATAAAATCTCTAAAATACTCCATAAAATAAAGAGGACGACCCCAAGTCAAAAAAATGAGAGTCTGAAACTATTTATTCCTGATTCTATCAAATTCTCTCACGTCATCTACCCATTCGAAAGCG